AAATACTCACCAAAATTTCTTTACAGTCACCGAGTCTTTTGGATTTGCAGATATAGCCTTCAGTCTAGCGAGCACCCTAACCACATTTCCATCTACGACAGGCACAGCCTAAAATAGTGAGCTCAAGCAGTCAGACAGATTAGATTTATAAGAAAACATAAACACTCAATTATATGTAAGTCCCACCTCATTGAATGCAATAGAGGCAATGGCACCCGCTGTATATTCTCCAATGCCAGGGACTTTCTTTAGAGAAGAGACTGTTCTGGGAAAATTCCCACCTTCTTCAATAATCTTTTTTGCCCCCTATAGGCAAGTAAAAGGAGTCAGCTGCCTATCATGCAGGCCCTCTTCCGTCAATATAAGTCATTATACTGAAACCAATTAAAGGTATTGCTTGAAAAACCAAAGAAATCCCATCAATATTTGAGAAATTACATGAACAACAAACCCACAAAGAGAAAGAAATATAAATGAATACAAAAGAAAGAAAGCAGAGGTTATGTGCTTAGTGCTTACCTCTAACAAATACCTTGCTCGTCGGTAATATCCCAAACCTGCCCACATTTCATTCACCTCCTGCAAAGAAGTATTACTATTTAAATTCACCAATGAGGACATATACCAACCTTGTGCAAAATTGCAAGCTTGTCAACGAATTGTTATGTTACTTGGATCAGAACAAGATCATTGATGGACAATGATCCAAATCTCAAATTATATACAGCAATTTCACTAAAGTTTCGTCTGTCAAATTATGATGCAAACACGCATTAATTTGCAACTTGAGAATTAAACATGGATGTCCATGCAATATCAAGATAGCTAAAATTTATAATGCCACAAAGACAAGTACTTGCCCCTCTCTTACATTTAATCGGAGCAACTCCAGAGGTTTGCAACTCAGTCAAAATAGTTCAACTGGCTTATAGAGTTATAGAGATAAATCACAACTCACAAGCAAACCCACTTCAAAATAAACAAGGTCAAATAGGTTACATAACATCAGCAAACAGCATGACATAGATTGAATCCCCAGTTCATCTCAGCATCCAAGACTCAAACTTTATAACTAGACCATATGACCCCCATAAATTTCCATCTCTTCCAGAAAAATGCATCTACTTTCCTCATTACCCAATATCCAAAACTCGTTAAAGGCACCTCCTTTAATCGCAAAATAATTGTCACACTGTCTCAACTCTTCATAATAACGATATAACAAGAATTTACTTTAAAACCCACTACAATGATCAAGTCATTCTCCACTCTTAGTTGCTCAATTTAACTGACAAGAATCACATGACATTTAAATAATCAATCATACTACATTGTTACTTCAAAAAAAAATTCCAACTTTTCCCACACATCTAAAAATAGTACACAAGACTAAACGAGTAATGTTTTCTAGCAATACACACAAACTAAAATTAATAAAAACTACAAATATGATAAGAAAAGCAGAGGATTAAGAAGAACAACCTCAAGAGAAGCAAGAGAAAGATGATAAAGGGTGGGCCATTTCAACATCCAACGATTAAAATAATCAATGACAGTAGCAACCCTAGTTTGTTGCAGCATCACTTCCGAAACCCAAACCCCATATGCCTTTATCTCTTTTCCATCATCATCATCTTTCAATCTCCTCCAAGGCAAATCCCTCTTATTTTTATCATACCATTCCAACAAAGAAACCCTAATTTCTGCAATTTCTTCCTCATTAAACTTCAATAAATCCTCAATATCTTCAATTTCACTTTGCCCTTTATTGTTTGAAGTATTCTTCGGCTTGACAACTCGTTTCCTCTTGATGGAGGTGATTTCAGAGGATTTTGTTGAGGAAATTGAGCCATTTTTTAGGGTTCTTCTGGTGGGGGTTTTGGACATGGAAATGGGTATTGAAGGAATGAATTGAGGAAAGAAGGAGAGAGAAATTAGGGGAATAATTTTTGAAGTTGAAAGGAGGTTCTTGGTTTCCCGCCCAAAAATGGAGAAGAGAGCTACAATAGTGGAGTTTTAGTGGAGAAAGAATGTGGAAAGGGTTTATAAATGGAATTGGTTGTATTAATAAGATTTTATTTGAGTAAATCATTAATCACAATTCATAATGTCCATTGGTAGTAACTTTGTGAATGTAAATTAGGGAGTATCTTAAAATATTTGCGTTGGTATTCAAAACTTGTTGGATTGAAACTCGTCTACATCATTACCTTTGCGGCTCACTCTACATCAAACAAATATCGCTCTATATGTACTTGATAGTAATAAGCAAATTTGAAATAACTACTCATCTCTTTATTGCGGATAAGTAAATGCTACTTATATAGTTGTATTATTAGGAGTTAGTTATATACTTGATGTTTTTATGTTTTATAATGTTATATGGTAATGGTGTAGTTAGTTATATTAGCATAATTTTGAGTACAAATTAATGTTTTGATTTACTCACTTCTATAGTTCTATGCAACATCAGTACATCACTGATGAATTGCAGAAAGTGTCACATTTACACTGTCTTTAAACAGAAGCAAGAAAGATTATTCATTGCAAGGGCTTGCCAAACTAGAAAACGCAGCAAAACAAAGTAAACTTAGGTATGCTAAAAATCAGGAACATAAACACTGTAAATAAAAAGAGTCTTGTTTACTAACAACAATAATCGTTTTTGCCAAAGAAAAAAATACAACAGTAATTGTATAAGATTAATGTACACAGTATCTCCTAATACAAAGTTGCTATAGCTGTACGCATTAAGCAATATACTAATACATAATTCAAGTCATGATACTCTAAATAATTGGCTAGATGATATGGTTATACACTTACAGTCTCAGTCTTACATGACGGACCTGTGTACCCTACGATCATCCAAGATCATGGAAAACAAAATTGCAGTAATACGTATACCAATATTGTTCTAAATGTACTTCCTACCGCCTATAAAACACATCAAAATGACCCCTTCATTTCCAAAGATCAAAGGTTTTCGCCAAACCACATCTCAAAACTTGCAATGCACAAGGTTAAATTTTTCGCTACTCACTCCAACCAATGGTTTATACTGCTTTCTTTAAAATGAGTACCAACCAGTACAGTATTTCCTTATGTGCTACTTGGTTGAATCTCATTCCCTTCCTTGCCCTTCTGGATAAGTCTTGCCATCTGAATTCTCGTTGCAGAACCCTCATCAGTAGATGTCTCGCCTGTTGTGGAGCCATTAACCGACCCTTTCAAACCTTTCTTCTTCTTTACTTTCTCACGCCATCCAAGAATACCGGCTTGTACATGTTCATCGAATATTGCCTTCTTAAAGTTGCTTCCCATCTTCATAATATTACAAAAGATACCAAAAAAAAATATGTTTAATAGGTAAAACTATGTGACATATTTGCAACACTAGCAGATTTCAGAAGGAAGAGCTTCATATAAGACAAGTGGGAGCAAAATTTTGCACAAAATTAATATACCTGGGTAACAATTGCGTAGAGAGGTAGAGTGCTGTAACTACACAGAACTTGGATGATAACGCTGCAAAGAATTGGAAAAAAAAAATAACATGATGAGGAACATAAGATGTCTAGATTATGACAAGAATTTGAGCAGAAATGAAGCAAGTATTTACCCATGATGAGCCTTGGTACAATATACCGCACTTGTCCCATAATACAGGAGTCGAAACCATATTGCACCTGCAATTTTTGAGGACAGAGGGGACAGCGAAAGAGAAAATTTTAAAGTTAATATATAAACCAAAAAGGCAGTTAGTAATTTCAAGAACCAAAAAGACTTGAAACAGCAGCTCACCCATATCCAAAAGAAATATGCTATCTCAAATGCGTTTTGGAATAGTATGAAGTGGATAAGGAATAGGGTAATCTGAGGTCGGCTGAACCAGAAATGTTCATCAGAAGGCTTTACCACAAGGTCCCTTCTATGGCGACGTGTTTTTCAGCAACTTCATGAGCAAGCTCAGTTATAACATGCTCCAGTTTTGTTCCCACGGCAAGGAGAAGCTGAAAACAATTCAAAACCAGAGATAAGGTTTATAAAGAAAAAGGCTACATTATATTATAGCAGCAAGACCAAAATCGCTTTGGTTTTCAGACAAGGTTCCTAAGCAAGACTTTACAATATATCAATGCGCAGTCAAAAACGATACAACAGAAAAGTCAGTGCACTCAGACTTATAGGTTTGTCTGAAAGAAAATCTATTGGCAAGTAACTCGATCGTTGAAAAAATTAAGAGGTGAAAAGAGGTCTCATACAAAATGAACTGAAACTGGTCAATGTAACAAAAAAAAAAAAAGGGTGCCACTTTACAGCACAAGAATAAAAAACTATCAGAAGGAACTAAGGAAGATCAAAACACATAAAAGATGTAGAAAATTGTTTTAAAAGACTTGAGGAAAAAAGAAAAGTGAAACTAGATCACCCTATTTTATTTCCAGATGTATAAGGTTGAGATGTTCCCTAAAAGGAGTGTGAAACTTACAATGAACGGAATAAATGCTATCCAGAAATATGTATGCCAACCTGCAAAGAAGTACAATAGTACAGACATAAGATTAAAAAAATAAACAAAAATCCGGAGATCAATAAATCAATACTAGAGTTTAGAATAAATAATGATGATTATGAGAACAAGGAGTGGGCTGGTGTTTCATGTATTCTTTTTCTTTGTTTTCTTAAGGTGAAATTAGAGAAAGCAACATAATTTAAGCCAAGCTTGATTAATAGTCGAAATTGTCAAGTTGTCAACTCTCAAGAAAATAAGAAACAAAGGTAGTAGTAAGGTTTGCAGAAGTAAAAATAATGATAATGGCTCTATGCCTCTACATCTCTACTAGTCTAGAATAAACATATTGATAAAAGTAAAACAGCGAAAATAAATCCAAGGGACAATGATAACAAAACAATTTGAACACGGTGAACTGTGATTACAACAACCAAATTGACTATAAGGCAGAAAATCAACTCCAAAACGATTGAACGTTGAACTATTAGGTAAACAGGGGAGGGGTGCTATCTAGCACAATATCAAGCAAATTAGCATGATTTTGTTGAACAGAAATATTATCCCACACAACATAATGACTAAAATTCCTCAGAAGCCAATGTTTATAATGCTATTGTTGTCAAAAACACTAACAGCAAGCATTTTAAATTGAATAGTCAAACCTTAAAGCAGTAAACACTTAAGCTCCAACTATGTCAGCGATTACTTTGTGCGACTAAATTTTCAACGAAATAACGAAAATTATGGAAGAAATGAAAGCAAAATCTAGTACATGAATAAATGCCAAAGATAAGCTGATTAACTGATATATATTTTTGAAAGAAAGAACTGGAAAAGGTAGCAAATATTATACTGTACATAACCAAAAAAAAAAAAACTCCCATACATTATAAACAAAAAGATGCTTAGGGTAGAATACTAAAACTCATACCGTTGACATTCAGCAACAAGAAGATGATCACAAATACCCAAAGATACCAGCTGCATCACACAAATCAGAATCTCAGTCCAGAGTTCTAAAAAGCTGCCAAAATTTTGACATTCTACATGAGATATACCACTTGCCTTATACCAACAACCCGCTTAAAATCATCTTCCAGTGCACGAATCATGTACTTGTGAAAATTAAATTTGCGATTTCCTCTGCAATGTGTCTGAAATAAAATCATTACTAATCTAGTCAGCACATGATAGGTATATTGTGATCATAAAATACATGCTAGAAACAAAACTGTAAAATAAGTACATCAACATGCAGAAAATGCAATTAAACACGTAAGAAAAGCGTACCATAATGAAACCCATGCGCAATGTCAGGTAATCTGCTTTTGTCACTGCTCCATAAAACTGCTTGATGAAAGAATGCTGAAAAATAACCAATACAATTCCAATCATTCTCTAGACAATAAAGTAGTAATTCTGAGTTGATAAGGCTTCAATTATACAAGAAAGTTATAGCTCATAATGGTATTCATAGCTAGAATAAGTCAAGATCTTGCAACAACTGACAATAAAAGTTTACAAACGCAAGCAGAAACTGATAACTCAACTTAGATTGATAGATGGCTTTCCAGAGATTAACATGCATCTAGTAAATAGCAAAAATCCATTGTCTCTCATTCAGAATGTCACGCAGTAACCATAAGTGTTTTCACTTTAAATGCAGCTGTAAATATCTACAGCTAACGAATATTGCAGTGACTAGAGAGAATAACGGGGTAATTTATTCCATATATTAAATTTAAGAATTTAAAATTTTTAAATCAAAGAACACATCCTACATGGCAAAAAGCCTTAAAAGATACTTCGTAACACTTAAATTTTAGTGAAATAATATTGAGCATTGTCTATACTTAACATTTAATTTGAGCACCCATCATGCAATGAAAACAAAACGTGCTTACCATCCACCGCAAGATAGAAGATTTTTCACCAACACCCACAAAATGATCACGTATGAATGCATGGTCATGGACATGGGTGACTGCAGGTTTCAAAGCTGCACAAAAGAATGGTCAACAGTTCAGATCAATGAACATGGTAGTATGGTACACAAATGCTTCAAATACTTCCATACATTATTTTTCTTCCTAACAAAAAAATCACTACATAACTTTCGCAGGAGTTACTCCAAATACAGTTAACAAGAAAAGTGACCACCCAATGTGCCTTCCAAACAGCTTAAAATTGCATTATATCCTACAAGAGTGGCCCTCGTTTCTTCTCTTTTCTGTCTTTTTTTTTTTTTTTTTTGTTAAGTCAAAAGGGAAGAGCGACATAATGCCAAGTAACAAGAAAACAGCAAGAAATATTATTTATGCTACTTCGTACCCTGGTCTGTATCATAATTCTCCTTTGCAATAGCATCTTCCCAATGCTTCCATTGCCGTATCTGTCACATAGAATATACATCAGCAAAAATCAAACCACTTGACAGCATGAAAGAACATCACAATGACTGAACAGCAGTAAAAGAGCATAAATAAGACTAAATACATACTCTTGCTCCCCAAAAACGACGGTCAAGACAGAGAAAGTGACATGAACGACTGCCAAAACAAAGATGAAGATATGCAAATGATGAAGCCCTTCAACGGATAAAAAGGGAACTTTGTGCTGCAAACAAAGGTAACAAATGATAAGTAATACTCTCGAGGGCAGAGAGCCGGAGACATCCAGGTCACCAAATGCTTTTAGCAGTAAGAACATATAT